CGACTTTGCCACGAGCCATATTGAGACCCGCTTTCAACACATTGTCCAATCGTAATGATATGAGAGTCACGTCTAAGTCCTGGAAACCGATGGCTTTGCCGTCAATGAGGTCGGCGTCCATTTCCTCGGACTCCTTGTCGTCGTCGTCGGACTCGTCATCGCTTTCCTCTTTCTCTTTATTCATTTTCTTCTTCCCTTTCTTATGCTTCTGAGGAATGGATTTCCCGAACCTCTTCTGTTGGACCAACAGATCGCCCAATGGATTGGCCAACACTTTGGCAAACTCTTGGGATGTGTTGAGCGCTCTTCTGGTCGTCGTTTGCCATCCATTGAGACAATTATTTCGGGAAAACTGTTTGTCTGGAAATGTTGTCAAATGTCTCAACACTTGACTATAGGAGACTGGAATCGATGTCTTCTGCGACTTCAATGGCAAGTATTGAGCGCATAGTCTTCGGAGGAATAGATAATTCATGTCTTAAAATGCAATTAGTTTTAAAAGTTTTGTTAAATAATTAAATCACACAAACATGTGATCACATAAACAAACGATTAAAATGATTCATATATGATATACATTTGGGGGCAATGAATACATTGTTAAGTTTGTGCATTAGTTATGCTATTGTTTCTGTTTTGGGGGCTATTTATTGGTGGATATTATAACGGCTTTTGCGAACGGAATGCATGACTAATACCACAGAATGAATGCGTAATGCAATGAAATCCCGTTTGAAGAGAGCGTTCATAACAAACGTCTATATTATTGAGAGTTTGGGGTCTCATATGTTTGGCTCCACTCTAACAGCAAAACAATTAGTTTTACAACTTTTTAGTCAACTTTTTGATCACTCTTTCCATCACTTATTGTACGACATTTACGGACAAAAGTAAACGTCAATTGAATTACTATTGCATTGAAATAAAGAAATATTTGTCAACAAAAACACAACACTTTGTGTCACAAAACGGATCCATTGAAGTGATAGACGAGAGTCTCATTGAAAGCCAAACTATTTGTATTGTGTTGTATCGAGTGTTGGATCAGTTGAAGCAATGGTGAGCACAGGCGTGAACTATACGAAACTGAAGACCAATCTTCGGCTGTCTATCAATCGGTTGAAACTTCTGGAGAAGAAGAAGACAGAGTTGGCACAGAAGTCGCGCAAAGAGATCGGCGAATACATCGTGTCCTCGAAGTACGAGAGGGCGAAGATCAGAGTCGAGCACATCATTCGCGAAGACTATATCGTGGAGGCCATGGAGTTGGTGGAGATGTACTGCGACCTCCTATTGGCTCGTTTTGGTCTCATTCAGCAGATGAAGACTCTGGACGACGGGCTCTCCGAAGCCATTTCGTCGCTCATTTGGGTCGCGCCTCGCCTTCAGACCGACGTCCAGGAGTTGAAGACCATTTCGGATCTGTTGACCTATAAGTACGGCAAACCGTACGCTCAGGCGTGTCGTGAGAACGCCCTCAAGACTGTCAACGAGAAGCTGATGATCAAAATGGGAGTTCAGGCGCCGCCCAAGATATTGGTCGAGAAGTACTTAATTGGTCCGTATTTTTAACAGTTATTTGCTATAAATATCTATAATAACGGTAACATTGAATTGATTGCAGAGATCGCCAAAAGTCAGAACATATCCTACGAACCCGACGCCGATGTCCTCAGAGAGGATGAGGTTTATTGTGCCGAAGAGGCCACGAGTGGATACCGTCCTCAAGGCAATTGTCTCATTGATTTGGGCAACTCTATGGATAATCGTAACAATGGTTTCCCTCCGAGTGGTCCCTCCGGTGGTGGAGGAGGAGGTGGTGGAGGAATGGGTGCATATGGTGGAGGATTGCCTCCATTGCCTTCTGTGCCTCCGAGCGCTCCGTACCCGACGGCGCCCAACACTAAGCCGATTGGCTTCAACTTCAACAATATGCCAGAGCCGAGCGCATCCATGCCATCGGGTCCTCCGCCTCATTACGACTCAGTGATGCCCTCAACAGATGATAAGCCAATGGACTCTAAGCCCAAAGCACTTCCGCGAGGAAATGCCGCTCCAAAGCCGAATCCAAACATCAATTTAAACGATTCGTTCCCCGAATTGCCTTCAGTGCCGACGGGAGGTCTGCCCGACATTCCGACCAATGATCCCAAAGACGATGGCATCGATTTCGACGATTTGTCCAAAAGATTTGAAGATTTAAAGAAAAGAAAGTGAAATGTTTTGTTAATTTTGTAATAAGTTTACATTTATTTTACTTTTAATTTCTATTTAAAGTATTGACTTTTTGCAAATTTATGATAAATAATTGATTAATATATTCACATAAAAATATAATCAAATTATAGTTAATTAAGAGTTTTCAATCAAATTGATTTATATTGAATCAATTAAATTGTAATATAAAAGTATTCATATAATAAATTACTAATAAAATAAATCAGAAGTGTTTGTATTGATTACATTGTTTTTAATTAAATATTTAAATATATAAGAATTTAGTTATTAATGATAGCAGTATTTGATTTTAACTTTTTAACAAATCTTATAATTTAATTTCCATTTCACTTATTCTATACTTTCAAATGCAAAATACGGTAATAATTAACAATAATTTATTATTGTTGAAAGGGATGTGTGGAGTGACTGTTGGAAAGAATAATGCATTCAATTGTTGTATAATTTGTAATAATTGTTTCAAATTTACGCACAAATCAATTGAAAGCACTGTTTGTATAGATTTTACAACAAATAACCGTTAAATTGAGAAAATATTTTAGTATTTGAATCAATTTAATCGTCCATTTATTTCAATATAAACACAACTTTTAAACTATTTATTCATCGATTGTGTTCTCAAAAGTGTTCACATAATTGAAAACATGTCTAAAATCGACGACAAAAACTCTTTTTGTGACGATATGTTAGAATATTTGTTGTCTTTTCTCTCATTTGAAGAGCGATTCCGATATGAAATTGTTTGCAAACGATGGCAACGATTGATATTCAATACACAAAAACATCTCAATATTGGATTAAAATTAAAACAGAAGATTGAAATAAATCCACAAATATTAGGATTAATACTACAAAAGTGTCCAAACATTTCAAGCATTTACGACACCATTAGATTTGTAAACGATTTTTCATTAATTGAGTTATTTATTGAACATTTTAATTATTTGGCTTTTGTTTCGATGGTTTCTATCGAGTTTCACAGCATTAGTGAACAAACGATTGAAGATTTTTTCACAAAGTTTGCCAAACAATTGAAATCAATTAGATTTGCATTTGATTTTAATATTACAGACGATTTGATCTTCAAATGGCTTAAAATGTGTGTGAATTTGCATTCAATTCAATTGAATCGTGAATTTTCTCAATTATTATCTCTTCTAATCGACGAACAAAATGAGATGCAATTCAAAGAACTTAAAAATATTAAATTCCTTGTAATGAATAATTCCAATGATTTCAATGCATTTGATTTATTCCTCAAACTCTATAAAAACAATATAAACTCAATTGGATTTGATATTAATTGCGATCTCAATGAAGACATCATCAAAAGACTGACATATGGTTTAATTCAAATGAAAGCATTAATTGATCTAAAATTACAAATTCATGGTTACAGTTATGATTTGAAGTTTATGTCTTCACTCTTTTCAAAAATTGGTTTTGAAATCGATGGACAACTCGAATATCTCGACATCTGGTCTGGAATACAATTTGATGAACAAATATTGCATGCAATTAACGCGCGTTTCAGATGTTTAAGCTGTTTGAAAATAAGTGGTCAAATGAAGTCAAGTGTGCGAATACACGGCAATCCATTGAATCAATTGAATCGCTTAACGCATTTGGATTTGAGAGTTGGAGTCGATATTTCTGACCAATTCTTCGCCGACATATCAACGATATATCCATTCCTTCAATACTTATCTCTAAATCGCGTGAATATAACACACATAGCGATGGATGAGATGTTGAAATTGAAATACATCCATGCCGTTAGTCTCATTGGTTTCGTCAATTGTGGTCAATATAAATATAAATATCACAACATAAAGATTTTTATTCCTTAACACTTCAACATATTTATTATTTAGTTTTGCCTTTGCTTTCATAATCTCTTTGTCAATACAATTAATTTGTGTTTATTTAATAAATGCTTGAAATAAAAGTCCATGTTATTAAATGATTTAGTCAAAAGTTATTTTCAAATGGTTTGGCTCTTATTCTAGTATAAAATGCATTAAATTATTAATTATAACAAACTAACAGCCATTTGGCCGTGAAGTCAACCAACAAATTTGAGGATCAGTTAATTTTGACATCAAATCTGGTGGTTATTATCGTTACCGCAGTTATAGACAATTCATTGTAATTAAAGGTTTTCTTCAATTGTTAGTAAAATTCTGTACAAAATAAAGAGATTCTCGCGAATAATATTAACATTAATTCAATAAAATTTAAATTTAAATATAGTTACAAATCAAACATAAATTAATTCAAACCATTAAAACATAATTAGATTCAAAATTAAGACAATAGAGATGTCAATCCAAGACTTCATTAGATCACAGGAGGACTTAATACAACCGATAGAGTTATACAAAACCAAAGTTATCTTTGATGGACATCAGATCCAAAGGGAACTCTTCCACCGTTCGGGCGGACAAAGAGATAGTAAATATGGACCAAATTATACGGCATTTGAGGAGACAATCAAAATGTTCTTAAGACGGCTTAAGATCTGCCAAATCGTGCCAATCATTGTCTACAACGGATCCATTGATGTCAACNTCGACTTTGCCACGAGCCATATTGAGACCCGCTTTCAACACATTGTCCAATCGTAATGATATGAGAGTCACGTCTAAGTCCTGGAAACCGATGGCTTTGCCGTCAATGAGGTCGGCGTCCATTTCCTCCGACTCCTTGTCGTCGTCGTCGGACTCGTCATCGCTTTCCTCTTTCTCTTTATTCATTTTCTTCTTCCCTTTCTTGTGTTTCTGAGGAATTGATTTCCCGAACCTCTTCTGTTGGACTAACAGATCGCCCAATGGATTGGCCAACACTTTGGCAAACTCTTGGGATGTGTTGAGCGCTCTTCTGGTCGTCGTTTGCCATCCATTGAGACATTCATTTCGGGAAAACTGTTTGTCTGGAAATGTTGTCAAATGTCTCAACACTTGGCTATAGGAGACTGGAATCGATGTCTTCTGTGACTTCAATGGCAAGTATTGAGCGCATAGTCTTCGGAGGAATAGATAATTCATGTCTTAAAATACAATTAGTTTCAAAAGTTTACAAAAGTGTTAGTAAATTATTAAATCACACAAACATGTGATCACAAAAACAAACGATTAAATTGATTCATATATGACATACAAATGGGGGCAATGAATACATTGTTAAGTTTGTGCTATTAGTTATGTTATTGTTTCTGTTTTGGGGGCTATTTATTGGTGGATATTATAACGGCTTTTGCTAACGGAATGCATGACTAATACCACAGAATAGGGTTGAAAATTCCTACTGGGAATTGTTCCCAAAGGAATGTTTTTAGGAATATTCCCTGGGAAAATTGGGAATATATATTTATTCCCTTTGGGAACATTCCCAATCACCCCCAATTGGGGGCAAAATGGGGGTGAAATGTGGGGGTCGACACACTTTACTACTGGCGCCATCTGGTAAGTGAGCTTTTTGGGTGGGAACGTTCCGGGAATATTCCCAATTGGGAATATTTATTATATTCCGGGAATTTTTTCAACCGTACCACAGAATGAATGAGTAATGCAATGAAATCCCGTTTGAAGAGAGCGTTCATAACAAACGTCTATATTATTGAGAGTTTGGGGTCTCATATGTTTGGCTCCACTCTAACAGCAATTCAATGAGTTTTACAACTTTTTAGTCAACTTTTTGATCACTCTTTCCATCACTTATTGGACGACATTTACGGACAAAAGTAAACGTCAATTGAATTACTATTGCATTGAAATCAAGAAATATTTGTCAACAAAAACACAACACTTTGTGTCACAAAACGGATCCATTCAAGTGATAGACGAGTGTCTCATTGAAAGCCAAACCATTTGTATTGTGTGTTGTATAGAGTGTTGGATCAGTTGAAGCAATGGTGAGCACAGGCGTGAACTATACGAAACTGAAGACCAATCTTCGGCTGTCTATCAATCGATTGAAACTTCTGGAGAAGAAGAAGACAGAGTTGGCACAGAAGTCGCGCAAAGAGATCGGCGAATACATCGTGTCCTCGAAGTACGAGAGGGCGAAGATCAGAGTCGAGCACATCATTCGCGAAGACT